GCCGTTGCTGCTGTTGCTCATCAAGGCCTCATTGTTCGGCGCGCCGTGGGGCTGCTGCCCGCCGGGGCCCCGCGTCCCGGGCACGCTTCCTGGCTCCCCGCGGCGCCGCGTCCCCACGCGGGGCTCCCGGGGATGGTGAGCGGGTGTCAAGGCGGGGGCTGGCCAAGGGGAGGGCTGGTCAAGCCCCCCTGGGCTCCCCACCAGGCCCTGAGGAAAAGCAGAGCTCCCGCAGCGGGGAGGGGGAGGGCAAAAAAACTTGGCATCTTTGGCTCCTTCCCAGGCTTTGTGCCCGGCAATGTTCGGGATCAGCGACTAACACACTTCTATTAACTGCTCCCCTAGGTCTGGCCCGGAGAACATGGACCCTTCGGTGAGAACCTTCCCCCTCGGCCCGTGGACCCCGACGCCGGGTCCCTGGCCGGGAGGAAACACCACTGGGGAGCCAGAGGAGAAGTGTGTCTTCGACGAGGAGTTCAAGTTCATCCTGCTGCCCGTGTCCTACGGCATCGTCTTCGTGGTGGGGCTGCCCCTCAACTCCTGGGCGCTGTGGATGTTCACCTGCAGGATGAGGCCCTGGAATGCCACCACCATCTACATGTTCAACCTGGCTCTCTCTGACACGCTCTACGTCCTCTCCCTCCCCACCCTGGTCTACTACTACGCCGACCGCAACAACTGGCCCTTCGGGAAAGGGCTCTGCAAGCTCGTGCGCTTCCTCTTCTACGCCAACCTCTACAGCAGCATCCTTCTCCTCACCTGCATCAGTGTCCACCGCTACATGGGCATCTGCCACCCCATCCGCTCCCTCAAGTGGGTGAAGACCAGGAAAGCCCGCATCATCTGCGTAGGCGCCTGGCTCGTTGTCACCATCTGCCTCATCCCCAACCTCGTCTTCGTCACCACCAGCTCCAAGGACAACAGCACCCTGTGCCACGACACCACCAAGCCCGAGGAGTTTGACCATTACGTGCACTACAGCTCTTCTGTCATGGCCCTCCTCTTCGGGGTCCCCTTCCTGGTCATCGTCCTGTGCTACTGCCTGATGGCCAAGAGGCTCTGCAAGGCCAGCTTCTCCAGCCCCGTGGCCCGAATGCCCTCCTACAAGAAGCGCTCCATCAAGATGATCATCATCGTCCTCGCCGTCTTCGCCATCTGCTTCGTGCCCTTCCACGTCACCCGGACCATCTACTACACCTCCCGCTACTTCCAAGCCAACTGCCAGACCCTCAACATCATCAACTTCAGCTACAAGATCACTAGGCCCCTGGCCAGCATCAACAGCTGCCTCGACCCCATCTTGTACTTCATGGCTGGGGACAAGTACCGGGGGCGGCTGCGCCGGGGCCCAGCCCACCGGCTCCGGCCTGTGCCCACCTACGACCTGGCCCTGGTGTCCCCCTCTACAGACAATGTCACGGGAGGCAGCCACACTGCCAGTGACACCCGAGGGACAGGGACGGCACGGAGCAGGGGTGGCTGCTGAGGGGCCCATGGAGGGGCCACATGAATGTACCCCCCTGTCCCAGCACCCCCAAACCTGTCTCTGGCAGGGCAGGGATGGGGCTGAGGATGGGTGGCCGTGGGTCATGTTCCAGCCCTGCCATGGGTGCTGTGGGAGAAGGGTGTCAGTAGTGCTGGGGCAGGACAGCCACCTTCCCATGGGCACGGGAAGGACACTGAGGAAGCCACCCTGGGATAGCAGGCTGGCCTGCAGCACAGGTCCTGCCCCGGGGTGCTCCTGGGGACACAAGGGGGCTGGCAGGTCACTACAGAGAAGGGACACTCCCCAGACACTGCCCTCTCAGCCAGCTCAGCAGCCACCTGAGGGGACCAGACTGAACCTGGGGACAGATGCGACCCCAGGCCCCGTGTGTGCCTGGCAGAGGCCCTCAGAGATGTCCCCGTCACCCTGCTGGCCTTGGGAGAGGCGGGGAGGGACTCAGCATGGGGCACCCGCTGCCCATCACCCCCCCCAAAAAAGCCCCTTCCCCTTTCTGTACCAACAGACCTCTTTCTCCCCATGGCAGGGGGGGACAGGCTGCCCACCCCAGACAGCACTGGGAGAGCAGAGAAAAAGCCACTGGCCACATCGGTGGCACCCGCAGTGATGGGAGAGTCCCGGGGAATCTGCCCTGGTGGGTGTTTGCTTTACAAATGTTTACCCAGCCCTGGTGTTTGCCCAAGTGCCTGCGCAGAGGAGCAGAGATGCCTATCAGCAATGTCACCACTCCCACGTCACCCGGGGGCAGGGATGGGACAGGGCTGCCCTCACCACCAGCAGCCCCAGGAGGGGTTGGAGCCATCGCCCCACACAGGTCCTGCCAGCCCATCCCTAGGGAAGGGAAGGGCACAGCATCTTCGGGGTGCCCCCCCCAGCCACTGACCCCACACAGTCACATCCCACCAGGAGCTGCCCAGGTCACCCAGGGAGGGAGAGGACCCCAGGGCTGTCATGTCCCAGCCCCATGTCCCCATCCCACCAGACACCCCCACTCACTGCTGAGCCTAAAGCAGAGGAGAGACATCCCTTCTCAGCCCAGTTAACCCAGTAAGACCCCCTTATATCCAACCAGGAGGAGCTGGGAGCTGCTTGGTTGCACCCAAGTGATGCAAAGGTCCCCACCAAGCATGGCCCCAGAGATGGGACTGACAAGGAGGAGACGCAGGTGGGTGGCATGTCCCCCAGGCAGGGAGCTGAGGGGCACAGCCCATCCAGCCCCCCCAGCACACACAGGCAGCAGTGGGAGAGTTGGAAATCTGTATTGGGTACAGAGGTGGGGGTAAAAGCCCATCTGGGGCCAGAGCAGCACCCACCCCCACCCAGAGCTCCCTGGTCCCAGCTGAGGCCACTTCCAAGGGTCCCCAAGTCCAGGAGAGTGTCCCCCCCACCCCTAGGGAATGTCTCCCCAGCCTGATCCCACTTGGCATCAGGATGCCACCCCATAGAGTCCGTCCCATTCCCTCCTCCCTCAGCTCATGGTCTCCTGGTTTCCTCGGTGGGACTGCAGCCACCCCTGGCCCCCCAGCCTCACACCAACCCCCCCCACATCAGCCCCATGTCCTCAGGGGATGGCTGTGTCACCTGCAGCCCCCCTGAATCCCTTCCAAGGTGGACCCTTTCTCAATCTCCCCCGCACGTCCTCCTCTCCTCCCACCTCCTGCTCAGGTTGTTGGCCAGAGGAGCAGAGGGCCGGAGTGGGGACTGTCGCTTGGGTTCTTGATCTTGGGCACCATCACTGGCTCCCCCACTGCCAGGAGGGGAGGAAGGTCAGGCTGGTGGTGCGGGGACACGCTCAGCTCATCGGGAACAAGAGCTGAGCATCACCTTCCAGTGCCATCCACTATGGGTTGTCCTCCTCCTCCACCCCTCCACCCCCCAGGGGTCCCCTCTGCCCCACGGGGTACTCACCCACGGTGGTGATGGGCCTGGGGTAGGGGAGGAAGCCCCAGGACTGGACAGAGGTGAGACCCCGGCCGTAGAAGACACAAGGAGGAAAGCCCATAATCTTC